TATATATATATATATATATTCCCTTCTTTCTTTTCTCCTTTCCCTCATCCCAGTTGTTCTCTCCTTTTGACAAGTTTCTTTCCCTTTCACAATATCTATTGTACCATTAGGATTTTATTTACTCTTTCAGTTTCTCACACTAGGGAGACAATAGGAAGTTTACACATGCAGGTCGGAAAGGCTGTTATTAATGAAGCCCTTTTTCTCTGCATGAAGGCAAGTCAGGAGTTAAATCTAATGTAGAGAACATATCCTCTTTATGATTCCCAGGATTGGGTCTTTCAGACATCTATCATCCTTTGTGAACTTTTCAAATTGACCAAATTGCCTGGTGATATTCTATATTTCTTCTTATCTATATGTATTTCCTTTCCACCTTTCACTATGGTGAGATACAAAATTGTTTTCTCAATGTTGGTATTCATCACACCTGAGCAATGGAAGAGACCAGTTGTATCCTTGAGGCTCAGATGCTATGAAAAGTAAGGTCCATTACTGTATTTTTCTTGCTCACACATACAGGATTAAAGCTCAGTATATCAATAATCCACAATAAGAAATGGTTCATATCTATGGACTTCTATGGACCAGTATTTCTGATTTAGCTTCTTCCTTCCCTCTAATGTGGTATCACATGTACATCTTATCATGAAAGCAAGTTTTCTCATGCCCAGTAAATTTTAACTTGCAATAGCTAGAAAATGTACAACTTATTTCCCTTTGTTAAATAGCCTTGTTCAAAAGGACCATCAGTGAGACAGTTTGGAGAGGGATATAAATAGCTCCTACTCTTTGCATATCAGCATAATAACATTGGTAAGTAGCTTTTCAAATCCTGTGAACCACATCAATCTCTGTCAGCCTTATTTTGCCCCCTCAGTACTGTGTAGGAAAATCGTTATGTGCATATATGTGAATATATAACAGATTGCTGCACTGGAAAGAGTTATTAGAAGATTCTGGTCCTAAAATAAGGAGTGAATAAAAGAGGACAACAGGTTCTCATGGATGATGGTCACCTTATTATCCTTATATGAAAATAAATGCAGTGAGTAGCACCCTTACAGAACCACAAACTAAATAGAATTCCAGGGGCAGAGGGAACCCGATATTTACATACATTGGAGTATATTTCATTGGATGGATCAGAGTATGCCAGATGTGGGAATGACTAATGGGTCAGGGAAAAGTGAAGTATAAAAACGTGTTTGTGTAAGTCTGTGTTGGGCTACATTACATTACTCTGCTTCTGTCATTCATCTTACTCTCTATGCCTCATTGTTCTGTATCATCTAGAAATTTGTCAAAACATGTTTTCTGAAGCCATGGCAAAAATTGTTGAAAATGCTTGATCAAATAGGAGCCTTTCAGGACATCAATCAGGATAATTCTATAAATTTTGATAAATCACTTAGGAGCAATTTTCAAGAAACTTGCCATTCAACCAAAAATCCTACTAATTCCACGCATGGTGGGGCACGCCTCTCTTTAATCCCAACGTTCAGAAACCTGAGTCCAGGGGCTGGGGATTTAGCTCAGTGGCAAAAGC